CTGTATTAATCAGGCCTGGGATTTAATTATTTGTGGAGACATGATGAACAAGTTATAGAAATATTTAATAAATTATCTCCATAACATAGAACAATGCCTGTGACTTCCCTGTGAGACCCGCCAGATAAAAAAGGAGCTTGATGGTGAAGATTCCCTTTACTTAACAGTGTTGTCAAGGCAGGTGTATCTCCCTTTTGGTTTGTATGTTCCAATGGTTTCAATGGCACACCAAATAACAGACAGATAACTGTGGGAATGGTAGAACACCAGAATCACTGTAGATGTGGACGTGCAGGACTAATACATATGTGTAAAATTAGCAAGAGACGCGACACAGCGGTTGCGTTTCGGGTCAGATTCAGGATATTTCAGCCAATCTGCCCTCACTATGTTCCACACATTACAGTGAGATCTATGTTCCACTGTTAACTGGATTTGACTGAGTCATGCACATGAAGAGTTGAAACGATTCATAACGTCTTTCCACCAGTCATCCTTCATCTCCTTCCTCAGCTCTTCTTTTCATTTAGAATTAACCTCACATGTTTATATATCAGTCAAAAGCAACATTGATAACCTTGCTATGCACCCAGTAGGCGACTTTGGCCCTGGAGTTAGTTTAGGTGTTCACGTAATTGGAAGCGAGGTGCTTTAATCCCTGGCTCCTCCAGTCTGCATATGGAAGTGTCCTTGAACAAGGCACGGAACCAAAAAGTGCCAGAATTCCGGAAAATGACATTAAAGTACCATTGATGTTTGAGTAAGAGATAAAATGCTGCATATAGAAGATCTGTCTCACTACTAAAGCAGCGTGCACCAAAATCTGTCACTTTTCACCAGTTTACCAAAACATACTTAACATTCTTAAGGGAAACACAGGCCTCCCTTAAAGGAAGAAGCTGTAGGCAATAAAGTGGCAACCTTTACCTCTCTCTAGCCTGCATTTCCTAAAGTATCCACAAAACTAGGATTATTCTTTCCCATTTCCATCTCATAATCCTGCAGTAAATGCTTGATACAGGCTGTGTGACTTACATAGTCCTTATTCATACTGACCTTTAATAGATTAATTGAATTATAACAGCTAATCATTGCACACATCTGTAGCATCTGAGAATGATAAACGCTTATTTAGAAAGTAAGGATTGCTAGGTTATATATCCTGGGGCATATGCTACTTATTGGAGCACAAATTAGTCTCACGATGAAGCAAATTAAATCTGAAATGACCATGCATATTCAAATTAGGGATGTGTTTAGGCACACATGTACATATACAAGCACACAGACACACATTCAGAAAAAGTATAGCTGGGGGTTGTTTAATATGAATTCCTAATTTAGCGTTTTAACTCCAGGGTAAGAGGTAGCCCACTGTAAAATTATTATGTTAAAATGACGAGGACGTAGGGAACAAATATCCACATTTCACCATTAAAGCATAATAATTTGCCCAGCCAAGTGTGTTTATGTGATTTAAAAAAAACGTAATGTGCATATTAAAAAGATAAAATAACACATTAATGGGCAATAAAATATTCCAATATGCACAATATGGTATTAATGTAAAATAAATGTTGATTTATGACTTCAATAATTTGTTAAATGAAGCTGAATACATCTTCCAGCGAAGGCTTAGAAAATTAAATGGCCACATATATGTATATTGTGAAATGTGATCAACAAATTAGGTGGTGTTGCTATAGAAAAGACCTTAATGGTGGAGCATAATTGTGTTTTTTACACATGTAAAAACTCTTTTCTCAAATGTTTTTTTTCATATAGAGCAATTTGCGAATCAAATGGGTTTAATTTTTGCTTAACTTTATAACTTAGTAAGGATTACTACTGAGTAATTATAGTTGATGATGCCAATATTGTATGAATATTTCAATACATTAATAATGGGATACAACAATTTGCATATTAGTGTATTTCTAAACATTATATGTGTGAGAAAAATGATGAAGAACACAAGTCTGATGTAATTCCACTGTACAAGTTGGTGTGTGCTGAATATGTGTCATCGTCCTCCTGAATACACTGAACCACAGATCCCCAAAAGATGTACGGCCACTGACACACTCGGCTCAGTTGTTGTTGAGACTTCATGAAGCTGTTCTGCCAAGGGAGTGTCAAAACATTTCGCTGCATGGCAGTCTACTGGGTGTAACTGCATTAGACACTTAGAACTTCAAGTTGGTAAACTTTTTCTCTTGTTCCTTTAATTAATGGTTTTCTCTCTATCATCATCATCATCATATCATTGATGTTGCATGTGTTTTTGCTTAAATTCTGAGGACTGTACATTAACTTAAACATGTAATGCAAATTAGGGCTACAGAAGGAGTAGTAGTTGTACACAGTTTAATGATCCTAGGATGTCACAAGAAAATAAAGTCAGGTGCTTCTCAATTATCAAATGAAAACACAATGATAAAGTTACAGTAAGACTGTTATTTTTGGAAGCCCAAATATAGAGATGTCCTCCAATAGTCATAAAGGAGCAGGTTGGGTGAATAGAAGGTTGTGAATTATCCATAGGTGTGAATGTGCATGATGGGTTTCCCTGCTGTCCCCTCCTCTGTGTCTTCCGGAACAGCCTCTAACTGCTCCTGAATAGGAATAAGCAAATATGGAAAAAAGTTAGGAATGGATGAATAATATTTGTGAATAAAACATATAAGGGTATTTTTAAAAATTAAACTGATTTTCCACAACTCCATAAAACCCGATTTGGTTTTTGTGAGAATGGACTTCACAATTTTTTGGTCCAGATTCAGGATTTTTATTTGACTTCCTTTAACATCGTGAAATAGGTGCTTTTCAACATCTTCTTTATTCCTCAGTGAATAAGTCGTGGATCTTGATGAAAATAATCAGACTGATATTCATTAATGTGTGTGTATTGGTGCAGATTAGCACGTTGGGCTTTGAGCAAGAAAGCCACTTGTGATGCACTGTTAAAGTAAGGGATTGAGATAAACAATAAAATTAAACCTCCACAGATCTTTTTGGATGTTGGTTTAAAATCACACTGTTAAATTATTGTAGTCTAATTGTTGTTTAGGTGATTATACTGTAGACTGTTAATTTGTTAGCTCAAGAAATGAGAGAAATCAAAAATATACTCGTGTGTGTGTGTGTGTGTGTGTGTGTGTGTGTGTGTGTGTGTGTGTGTGTGTGTNTGTGTGTGTGTGTGTGTGTGTGTGTGTGTGTGTGTGTGTGTGTGTGTGTGTGTGCGTGCGTGCGTGCGTGCGTGCGTGCGTGCGTGCGTGCGTGCCTTTAGGTCTAACATCAGGAGAGTGCCCTTAGCGCTTCCTGACATCTCACGCCATCCTCTCTTGCCTGTCCTCTTCTCTGCATTTCCTGTCTTCCTCTCCCCTTTTTGTTGTATTCCCTCATCTGCTCTTGTAGGCTTTAAATTCAAACTGCCCCAAACTGTTTTCCTAATGTAATATCGCAGGAAAGATCTGTGTGTTACCTCTTATACAGGTTTGTTACATTGGTATGGATTTTTGTACTTGTTCTCAATTAATTTAGAGGAGAAAACCAGTGTAAAACAAGTTCCACGATGGATTAGCAAACCTAGAATCCCTGGTTTACTCTCTACCCATGTTTCTCTTTCAGTGACTTTCTGTCTCCTTTATTTTACTCTCTTCTCCCCCTTCTTTCTCTTTCTGTCCCTCTGTCCCTCTCCCTCCCACTTCTTCATCTTCTCACATTCTCCCTCTCTCTTTCTGTATCGCTCTCTCTGTCTTTCGTTCAGTGCCAGGTCTTGGTGGTTGGTGGTTCCCTCTCTCCAGATGGCCCACTCTGATCATTTATTGATGACAGGAGAACAGAGGAAGGCCTTCCCAGCTGCTGCTGCCTGGCACCCCGCTCAGTGTGTACACACAACCACACATTATTAAGCACAGACACACATATTCACACAATGACACGCACACATGCATGCGACACTCTGTCCCACACAGAGACATGCAGACAATGTTGACCCTCTTTGTCCCCCTTTTTGCTGTGTCACACGTTTCTGAATTGCTCTGTTCTACTGTTGAGCGCGCTGCACTTTTGCACCTTCTCCCTCCCTTCACCTCTCCTCCTTCCTGCCTCCAGTTCTTCTTTCACCTCCTGCTGTGGTGTTACTGACTCTGTCACACAAGAACAGACAGAATGAGAGACAGAGGGTGGGGGGAGAGAATGTGAGAGCTTGACAGTAGTGTGTTAGATTTTGGAGTTTGCACATGTTACAATAACAATCAGGGTTCTGCAGCTTGTAAGAAATGTTTTATACCAGAAGAAATATATGACTCAAATTGTGACCTGATTGTTTTTCTTGACAAGTTTTTTTTTTTGATTGGATCCACTGTAGATAGATACATTCCCATTCTAAATACTGCTGTAATTTGCTTTGAATTAGGGAATGGTTCAACCTTAAACATCCATCTTGCAGCCACATTGTTTCCAGCATCCCAAATTCCTCGAATATCATCCCTCCTCCGTGTCACCTCTTACACAAGCTGCCTGTGGGAACTAACCAGTCCACAACCCTGTTTCCAACAATCTATGTTTATTTATTTCTAATTCCTTCTGCCAAACATGTGTTGAGGGGAACACAATCCCTGATTCAGGTTGAAGTCAATTATCTCCTATAGGTTTTTCTACCACAAAGACACTGTAGGGAAGTGGTCTTTGAAATTAAATTCCTCACCCACCATCTTGTGCATTGAACTTTTCAGTACTTTTCAACCCACTCTACGTAACCATGATCTGAAGTCCTCAGTCAATTGTCCCTACCCTCTTTCAAAATGCATATTAATTAGAGTAGCAACAGGAGATATGCCAAGGATAACCTGTTAAATACCGCAGGTGGAAAATATTATAAAATATAAGATAATAATGGTTTAGTTAGATTCTGGCTCAAAACTATTAATTCAAATTTGGATTAAAATAAACACTTGGATAAGGTTAGACCACTTTTGTCATCATGGTTTCAATGATTAAGATGTGGTTGAGGTTATTGAATGCTTGTTGTCATAGTTGAACAAAACCAACATGTCAGTTTGAAGTTGAAAATGAACAGTCGTCTCCCGTGTTAAAGTTCAATGCTGACCTCATTTTCACTTCATAAAAAATTTTCCTTTGCTTTTTTAATAAACACTATGGCAACCACTGAACTTTGTTGCTTTAACAACATCAACATTTTATTTTGGACTGCAAGTAAAATGTCTCTATAGCTAATGAGCTGCTTTAACAGATGGCCAATTGTGTCATTTATTAATAGAAGGACTTACTCAAACATAAATATAAAATAGTTTGTCATACTTTAAAAGCTCAGACAGACATTTAACTCCAAGCAAAGGAAATTGATAGTCAGTTTTATAAATGCAATGCATTTTGTGGAAGCTGGGTTGCAGATCCAAAACCAGGCAACCTGAACTGTCTCTGCTTTCAAAAAAATCGGAACTTTCCTTGACGTATTCCACATTATTCTCTGGCCCATGACTGAGTAGCCCCTCTCCAGGCTCTTTTACCAGCACTTGGCTCTGACATCAACTACTGTATATACAAAGGAACATTGAGACTAGGCCCGAGCTGGCTGGATAACACTTCTATACAGATACACATCTCAAGGCAACACCTCATGATGGACGGCCACAACGAGAAGAACATGGGAGTCTGGAAGAAACCAACTGTGACCAATGTAAACATCACACACAGGATGAATAAAATAAGCAGAAGAGGTTGTGTTACCGCCCGTTAGGAACCAAACTGTTCTTGTGTTTTTGTGGAAATGTATTCTGTAGAGACGCAAAAGCACTTTGCTGTATGTTTATTTACAGATTCTTCCTTTTTCTTTTTTTGCTCCATATGTTTTTTATTCCGTTTCCTTTGTCCTCTTTTTTCTCTTTTCATCCACTCCCAAGTTACAGCAGTCCTGAAGTTTTCAGGCAATACTGAAAACACAATGTGAGAACACAACTGAGAGAGTTGAAATCTCTGTGGCGAGGCAGTTTTCAGAGCATGGATATTTTAGTTTTAAGTTGTGTGAAGGACACATGGCATGCATGCATGCTTCTGCTGTGCCAAGCCAGAGAGACTCCTACATCCAGAAATCTCGGAGAAAAAAAAACTCGCTGACATGATATCCTTGAAGGAAGAACATGGAGACAGTAGGAAGGTGAACAGTATTTTTATATATGTCCAGGTTTTGTTACACAAAGCCCAGCATAAACACGTGTGTCCTTCCTGTGACTGAGTCATAAATAGCCTGAACCGAGCAAGCTGCGACTTTGAAGTTACACATGGGAGACTGCTGTGATATACAGCTGGCTTCAGCTGGGGTACCCCAAGAGATGCATGAAAACACACACACACACACACACACACACACACA